AGAAACCCGCCTTGAACAAATAGTCGTAGTCATCGTCTCTCGCCATTGGGCCTCTGACCGCAATGGGATTCGAGGATTGAGGTGGTTGGTTTCACGTAAAGCATGGACAATTGAGGGAAAACCGCAGCAACGTTTCGTAAGCACGTTTTGGTGAGTGAAGTGCGGTGGAGACCGTGCGGCAACTCGCAAAGAGCATGCTTTCCTGGTTTGTGCGTGGAGTTAGACCTGACCAGATTCGGGTACAACAAGATTTGGCAATCCTCGAATGACTTTGTTGAATGGACACCAAGGACCTATTTGTAAACCGTTGCATGCTGAACAGGGGCCCGGGGGGCATATACTTTGTTGACGGCATCCTTCACTTTGTTTGGGCGGCACGCGTTTCACACCCGGAATCATCCACCAGGTTGATTCATTCCGGCAAGCAAGGCAAACGCGCAGGTGGGAGTTTCGCCAATAACTAAAAACCAAATGTTCAACTTAACCCCAAAGAAAGCAACCAGCCCATGGCCTATATTGGGGCTCAATGAGCTGATAACGGGGCTACTCAAATTGTGCTGGCTGGCCCTCCGCAACCGAGCAGAAAGCGCTGGCAAGGGGGACAAAACTTTTGGCCAGGCCTGGCGGAAGCCTCTCCGGAACCGTCCCCGGTCCAGGCCGGGTTGGCCTTTTAGTAGAAACTGGATGGCATTCCAAAGCAACGCACTGTGGTGCAGTCGTGGGCTTGCTTTGGTTTCACTGGGGAGCAGTGCTCCGCCCGTAACCCAAGGGCCCCCTTGGGCGTCGAAGAATAAAAAGCGCGCTTTCTGGTATCCCCTATGAAAGGCGGCAGGCGGCACCAAGGTCCAAAAGCGGAACCATGTGTTTGACAACTTTTTGGGGAATGACCACTGTTGCTTCCAGAGCAACCCACAAAACCCGCTGGTTGAGCCTCTTCAGTTGGACTCCCTGGTTTTTTGGGAGGGCAAAACCCCATAATTCCAAGAGGGGCTTTTCGAAAACTCGGACTCTAGGTCTTGGGTTGCGGCAGTTCGCCTTACAGCGGCTCCTCCTCCCAAAAAACAGGACCGACCTGACACTCCAAAGACGGAAGAAGGTCGTTCCGAATAGACCATCTAAAAAAAAAAAACGGTCGAGGACGGGTTGCAGAAGTTCATCTGAGCTCAAGACGGGAGTCTCCAAGCGATTCACGAGTGTGAGAAACCCCGAGCCTTTTTCAGCAAAGCAAAAGGTGAATTGAAGATCAAGGGGGATTTGGTGCGAAATGCAGATTGGATCCCTAAAGGCATCTCACGGGATCCATATTTCAGGAAGACTTTGACCTGAGAGATGTCCTGTGACGGGTGCGTTTTTTGCCGCAGGGGAGTGTAGCCCCTTTTGAGCCAATGCCGTCGGAAGGTCCAGCAGCGTAAACCACTTGATACATATCCTCGCACTAACATGGCAACTGACACAGGGTACCCCCCAGGAGGAAAACCAGCTTCCAGGTATTCTCCCACAGGTGCTGCGTTTGGGGTTTTCTGTTGGGGGTAGGACTTGTTCTACCCTCAGGGTTCAAGTACTCCCGGAGAGGCGCTTGGACCCACTTGACGCCATCCTCAAAGAAGTCTTGGACCTTCAACGGGAAACAGGCCCTATAAGGGACCCCGTCCGGACCACCCATAAGGTTGCCCCAAACTCGTCCCATCATGAGCCACCACTATCAAATTCACCTCTTAAGTTGTAGGTCTTGGTTGTCCAAAGGACCTGGAAATAAAAGGTTCACCTTTTGGGGCCATGACTAGACATGCACACAGGGAAAGCCAACTTAAGGTGAAAAGGTCGATTCGCTTTGAACAAGTGAGAGGTCAAAAGACAACAACTCAACTTGGCTTTGACAACTCCCAGAAACTTAAAACGGAGCAACTCAATCTGGCTTTGAAAACGCAACCAGAGACAGTCACCAGAATGCCCCCAGCATGCTCCGAAGCTCGAAGCTGTTCGCCCAGGCCATAGGTTTCAAAGACGAACTCTGCGAAACTCAGAGAAGCAAAGAACTGATTCAGAATTTCTTCCATATTGAGGATAGTCTACGTACTCTAAATAAAGAGCTTTGGAGGAAGCCCGATTGACTCATGACTTCGATGCATGGATCATCTTCATGCTACTTCCATCTGCTTCTTGGCCATACCCCAACGAACTTCAAACCTGGGCCATGTTCCTCACGTGGGACCCCTAGCCCCTGCAATGGGTGGCCAACAACAGGAACCCCGACAGGGTGCCCTTGGTATCACTAGGGGATGAGGCTCCCTTGACCTGGGATGAAACCAACTCCCCACTCAGTCCCTTGCGTTCATTCCATCGCAAAACGCGAAACGTCACATGCGACACTCGCACATCAGCAGAGGAGCACTGAACCTTTTTGAGTTCACTGGTTTATATAAGGCTGCAAAGCTGGGAGACACATGAAGAAACCATGGGGTTTCCTTTAGGGACCTTCAGAGGGATCACGAGAGCCGAACATCACTTTTTTGAGGGTCAGAAAAGGTGGAACCAAATGGGGGCTGAACAGGCTGGGGTGTGACCTTTTAGCCTTTAAAGGGTTAATCTGTTGGTTGGCAGACCCTCGACTCGCCTTTTTGAATTTGCCATGGAAGGCGCTGAATTGAGTCGCGTGGCCGTGGCCGCTCAGGCGAGCTGATTCTGTGCAAAAGTCCGATAGAACAACGTGCTGCAATAGGGAATGAGAAATGGAATGACCCTTATAAAGCATCCAACTGGTGGTTTCCTTTAAAGAGGATCCTTGGGTTCATTCAGCCACATTCCCTACCTATCGCACCAGCAAGACACAACTGGACCCGAACTTGAACAATCATAGAAGGTTGACAACACAAAACACAAATGATAACTTATGCACAGTGCAAGAAAGGTACATGATACCAAGACTTCATCGTTGTGTGGCACGGAATGCTACACGGCATGCAGCTTCCGATCAGGTACTCACGGAACGCTGAGTTGGCCATGTGCAAAAAGATTGCCTTAGGGTCCACGTGCCTAAGATATGTTGACCCCCTTCAACCCCTGGCTGTGGGTCAAAAATAGGTACCCCAAATGGAACCCTGGTAAATGGAAAGAAGGGCCTTTTACCTGCGGTCCATATCCTGGTGGTTTAATTCTGACCCATACCCCCCTCCAACCCCTCACCCCCCCCCCCTCAAGGGCTCGGTGGGCTCTCTGAAAAGGGCCGGGCCTTGGGCCTTGCAGTGAGCATTTCCAGGTGGACGCACGGCTCCAGGCGCCCCGGAATCAATGGGATTTGGTGGCTTTCAAAGCCAGGGGCAAAAGCAAAATATGAGGAGCCAGCAAATGGAGTCCCATGGGACTATGAGCGAGTCCTCGATATCCGGACTTCAGACTCAGTCTTAACTCTTTGCTGACCCTTCCCAAGCAGTACAGAGTCCAGGAACTGAGGGAATGCGTTAAAGGAGCTTCCCTTAGCATCACAGAAAGTGAGCCTCCCCCATTTTCAACAAGCATGCCCTTCCAATGTCAGGCTTGTGGGGACATGGATTCTGGGTTTGGCTCCAAATTGGCACGCGCCAGGCCATTTTGCCATTCCGCCCTCGAAATCGCCCCAAACAAGCTCACCTATGCAACTTTCTGCCGCGCAAAGCCCATCCGGACATGGATGCCGATTTGGGATCATCAATTCGGAGCCGGCGCGCGCTGCTATCGCAGGCCACCGGCCCCGCATGCTCCACAGGCCAGCTGAAAGCCATCGTCTTGTGTCATATGTGGAACGTGGACGCAGCGATTGGGTGGCTGTTTGTTTCCTTAGGCAAGGAACACACGCATGAGTTGAGCGAAAAACGACTGACATTCCCTTCCCTTGCCCATCTTCACCGAGAATCGACGGATGATCTTTGGGTTCTAGACAAGCTGCCCATGGACCATTGCTCAGCACGACCTACATGAGGAAGGCAAGCTGACTTCAGCCCTGATCCAAACGAAAGACTTCTCAAGGCTCGTCGTTGGCCTGACTTGAGTGTAGGGGCCAGACTTGTTTTTTTTGTTTTTTGTTCTTTTTTTTATATAAACACTTGTTCTTCGCAAATAGCCTGAAGTCCAAACAAGTATACAGTCCAAAAATGCCCAATTCAAGAATCAAGCACTAGAAAAGTGGCCTGAAAAAGAGGAGTTTTAAGTACAGGACTTTCACCCACAAATCGTGAAAAAGAGGAGTTTCGATTGATTATTAGCCGGGTTGCTTTGAGTTTTGGGGGCATTACTAGCAGAGTTCCTGCACTGTGGGGGGCAACCTCTGCATCTGAGATCTGTTCCCTTGCTATCTGCTTGATTCGTCAAAGTTCGAGCTTACCTCGACAAGGTGACTCTCTTTTCCTTTCTTTCGACGAGCTCTTTTCCACCTCCCATTTTTTGGGGCGTCTTAGGACGGTAGCTGGCTGGTAGCCTGGCTAAGGCTCCAGGATCCACTTCGCACTTGGTGGGGTATCAACCAGAATTCATACTGATGGTTGCGAAATCCATTTCGCACCAGCTTGCAACGGTTGAAACCCATAAGGTTTCTTGGTATTTACAGTGGAATCGAATCAGAAACCAGAAACGGTCCCTTAGGTTCTGCGAAACGGATGTTGTCCATCCACACTAGGGTTCCATTCAGCCCAGCTGGTGTGGCTTTTGTCCATCCAGAACAGATGAGGGTAAGCCGGTCGCCCATCACTGCTATACTCCAATCTAGGTATTGTGACCAGGTCCTGCCCGCATTTCACACACAAGTGTTACGCACATATCTAAACATGTCGTGCTCTTCGATCCTGAACATTGCTCCGATCGGCTTGAAAGCACCTTTAGATGGTGTTGTTTTGCGGATCTCCGGAGATTTTGATTGCTGTTGACCCCCCTGCAAAAAGTTTAGCTTCTTGGGGGTTTAGTGGAAAGCCCCTTGGTTTCCCAAAAAATTAAAGTCTAAACATCCAACCCAGTAGCAGTCAAGAGATGGTGCCCGAGATTTGTTTTGCGCTTGCCTCCTCTCGTAACTAGCAGCTGCAGCCCAGCTCGGACATGATATCCTTCAGCAGTTGCTCCGCGAGCACATCCTGCACATCTGTGGCAAGCCCCAGAACCTACTCTTCACAGGGTGTATTGAAGTGACATCATGTTGATATGGGGGGCCTGAGAAAAAGAAATAAACATAATAATAATAATAGCAATAATAATTAATAATAATAACAATTATGTCCGCTTTGTTGTACTTTCGGGGAATTTCAAAGCTGGGCTATGGAGCACCCAAATAAGTACGCAAGCCACCAGCGCCTCAGCCGGCTTCGTTCGGCCCATGCCCGTGGCCGAAGCTCCGAAGACACCCAAAAGCAGACTTTCAGATGTCTCACTTTCAGTCAACCTTAAAATATAGCGTGCGTTTCTCGCAGGGTCCCCTGAAATGCTTGGATCTTGTGAGGGTACCCCCCTTTTCGTGCATTTACGGCAAAAAGCCAAAAGGAACACTTGGGGAGAGCTCCCCGAAAAACGGCGACGTCGCGGAGACAGGTTCCTTGAAGTAGTGCCGGTTCAGCGAGTAGTTCAGCGCTTTCGGCTCCAAAAGCCTCCGAGACCAACTTGCGTGACTCATACCCTCCTACCTTTTTTACATGGAAACTGAGAGGGACCCGGTCCCTTCAAAAGGAACATGGTCCAATCCAGGACCCATGTTAATTGGTGCGAGGGGAATTCATACACCCCAGTTTATTCCTAGGGTTTGATGCCATAAACTGGGGTTGACTAATATGGGGGCAAGATGAATACAACCAGGAAACAGTCGGGTGCCAAAATTGTGAAGTCCCACTGAAAGCTCCGAAGGGTTGACACCTTCACCTTCGTGAAGGTTCAGGTATAATCCCAGTCCCAAGCTGAATCTTTACGTAGCTTGGGTCCATTTAAATAGCAGGTTTCAGCCTCGGTCAAAATTAAGGCTCCCCAAGACGACATGGATCCAAAACTTCGTAAGCCCCCGGCGTTTGTCAACAAACTGGTGAGTGCCCTGGTGTTGGCAGCTGAAATTGAGAGTTCGGTCCCCTTTGAGTTTCTGCAACATGAAATACAGACTCGGCATTTTGCCTGCACCTCAGAAGAGCAGCTCCAACAACCCATTCACATTTGGTCCAACCGAGGTAGAAAGGTTCCTGGAGATTCGCGTGTCATGGGATTCCTGGTAGTTCTCAGCATTTACATCGTTTTTCATTCATACGCCGGGTTTTTTGCCAAAGCGCCGAACAACTACCAGAACGCCTGGATTTCTTATGAGATGGCCCGTTTTTGGAGTCGTGAAGCGCAAAGGAACCTTCAAAAGGCACTGAAGGACGGCATCAGGCACAAACAGATAGCAAGTTTGACCGCCTAGATTTACCCGCAAAACACTCTCAAAAAGGCTCAAAACACCCGCAAAACTGGAAACGTCATCAAATGGTTTCTCTGGATGGCTTGGAAGGGGCACGTTGACAGCTCAGCTGACCAAAGGGCGACAAACAAAAACAGATCGCAACTTGCACGGGCAGCTGCAATGTGCCTGTCGGGCGTGCTTATAATTTAATCACACTCGGTACGGGGCGTGGATTGCCATGCCTGCTGGATTGCATGATTCCGCAGTGCGTCGGGCTGAGTCTCGTCCAGCAAAACAACTAAACGCCCAAATCGCCTAAATCGCCTTGAACAGCAAAATGTTTAGCCAGGTTTATCTATTTAAGTCGCACTATAGACCCTGATAAGGAAGAACCTCCCTATAAAGATGCTTACAGGAGTTTTGGGCGCTGCTCAGATGGTTTCACAAAGTGGTGAACCACAACAAGGGCCTTGTAAGGCCAAAACAAAATGCCAAGCTTTCTTGAACATATCATGACGGACGGGGCATTGTTGTGTGTGTGTGTGTGTGTGTGCTTGTGTGTGTGTGCTTGTGCTTGTGCTTGTGCTTGTGCTTGTGCTTAAGCTTGTGCTTGTGCTTGTGCTTGTGCTTAAGCTTGTGCTTGTGCTTGTGCTTGTGTTTGTGCTTGTGCTTGTGCTTGTGTTTGTGTTTGTGTTTCTGTTTGTGCTTGTGTGTTTGTGTGTTTGTGTGTTTGTGTGTTTGTGTGTGTGGTTGTGTGTGTGTGTGTGTTTGTGTGTGTTTGTGTGTGTGTGTTTGTGTGTGTGTTTGTTTGTGTGTTTGTTTGTGTTTTTTGTGTGTTTGTGTGTGTTTGTGTGTGTGTGTTTGTGTGTGTGTGTGTGTTTGTTTGTGTGTTTGTTTGTGTTTTTTGTGTGTTTGTTTGTGTTTGTGTGGTTGTGTTTGTGTTTGTGTGTGTTTGTGCGTTTGTGTGTTTGTGTTTCTGTGTGTGTTTGTGTGTTTGTGTGTTTGTGTGTTTGTGTGTTTGTGTGTTTGTGTGTGTGTTTGTGTGTTTGTGTGTTTGTGTGTTTGTGTGTTTGTGTGTGTGTGTGTTTGTGTGTTTGTGTGTTTGTGTGCGTGTGCGCGTGTGTGTGTTTGTGTGTTTGTGTAGTTTGTGTGTGTGTGTGTTTGTGTGTGTGTGTTTGTGTGTTTGTGTGTTTGTGTGTTTGTGTGTGTGTGTTTGTGTGTTTGCGTGTTTGCGTGTTTGCGTGGTTGGGTGTTTGGGTGTTTGTGTGTGTGTGTGTTTGTGTGTTTGTGTGTTTGGGTGTTTGTGTGTTTGTGTGTTTGTGTGTTTGTGTGTTTGTGTGTTTGTGTGTTTGCGTGTTTGCGTGTTTGCGTGTTTGCGTGTTTGCGTGTTTGGGTGTTTGTGTGTGTGTGTGTGTGTTTGTGTTTTGGTGTGTTTGTGTGTTTGTGTGTTTGTGTGTTTGCGTGTTTGCGTGTTTGCGTGTTTGCGTGTTTGCGTGTTTGGGTGTTTGTGTGTGTGTGTGTTTGTGTGTTTGTGTGTTTGTGTGTTTGTGTGTCTGTGTGTTTGTGTGTTTGTGTGTTTGTGTGTTTGTGTGTGTCTGTGTGTCTGTGTGTCTGTGTGTGTTTGTGTGTGTGTGTGTGTGTTTGTGTGTGTTTGTTTGTTTGTGTGTTTGTTTGTGTGTTTGTGTGTTTGTGTGCTTGTTTGTTTGTGTGCTTGTGTGTGTCTGTGTGTCTAGAGGTGTGCGTGTGGTTGCGATCCTGGGCTTACCCCTTTCTGTCAAGGCTCGTCTTTGTCCTTGTCCATTTGTCGGAGAAGCCTACGTTGCACTCTTTGCCATTCAGGGGCTGATCCGTGGTCAACGTTCAACCCCGATCCTGAGATTTAACTCATTGGTACCACCAACACTTAAGCTGAGGGCAAAGATGTAAGATGGAACTAAATGCTGACCAGCATCCTTCTGCACAATCAATTTGAATGATTAGAGATGTTTGTGTTTCAGGGCATTCTGGCTGCGAGGGACAAGGCAAACACCTCCAACGGCTATCACATGGCTTGTCGGACAACCTCCACTCGGGGAGGAACTTATGCGGCTTCCTCAGCTGTATCTTGAGCTGGTGGATACGCTGCAAATGCCTGTGCATGAAAGCTAAAGGAAACCCGGCATTTCTAGAGGAAACAGTTCTTTTTGGGGGACCCCCTTTCTAGGCTTCCATTTGTGAACTTGCAAATGGCCAGAGTTCGCATCGAGGTGAAGGGTCCAACAGTCAATCCCCTTGACTTGGCGCCACTTCACAACCTCTCTCCTATGACCTTGGTTTTCAAGCACCCAACTCATTCTGATCAAATTCAATGAGCCTCAAATCCCCAAACCACCAAACCAGCAGAGGGTTGCCTGGTGATGAGAGGATCTATAGGTAAGTGGCCATGGGTCACAACCCCGAACCCCGCACATCCCAATCTCCACTAAAATAGAACACAATTGGTTGTGCACCTACCCCATTATGGTATTGAAAAGGTTTTGAACCATGGCCAAGTCAAGTTGGACCCCCATAGTTTCCACACGGCTCCTCTTACCCAAGCCGCAAGTCGCCGAACACAACGCCGCGGGCCTCACCACGTCGAGCACGGACACGTTGCTGGCTTTGGCCGCCTCCCGTTGGCAGCTCAGGTCCTTGCAGAAAGAACTGCCAGGGGCCCCCATTTGCTGAAGCCCTCTGGAAAAACAAAGTGAACAAAAAAAACATAAAACATCCAGTGGTGATGGAAAAAAGAAAACAAAAACAAACCAGTAGTGATAGATTCCCTTTAACACCAACAGGTAAAATCAAAACAAATATTCTTGAGCAAATGGAAGGCAAGGGGGAGTCCCCTTGTTTTTGGGAATTTTGAGGTTGCCACTCCGAAAGAAATGTGGACATAGAAAAATCAACGGGTGGGGGGTGCCCGGGGTGCGGGCCCCTCCAATGGCCCAATGGTGGTCTGATTTTTCACTTTCACCCAGGACCCCCCCTACTAATAAACGGGTTGGTTGAGAAATATGGGGTCGGCATGGCCACCCTAACGGCCCCTCAAGCGGTGGAGCCTCAGTGATCGCCCGCATTGAGCCGGGAACCTTGAGCCCCAGCTCAACTGCCGCCCCGCGGCGGCGCGATCCGCCAAAATCCCCGGCCCCCAACTTGCCACTGCACCTATGGGACAAGACCCGGAGAGACATTGGGACCATCACCTGAAATCCCCCCTTTTGAAGCCCGGCAAAACTCAAGCCACCAAGCAAAAGCTGGAGCGTTGCCGAGTCTGAGTCGCATCCATGGTGTTGGATGCCGAGCCAAGCTGTGCACCTCAAAGATGCGAGTCTTAAACCCGAAGCCTCCCACAATTGCTTTAAACTGGGCGCTCAAGGGCCCCTATTAGTTGGCATTTTGTTGTGAGGCCCGGAAAAGTGCGTTGGAGGGATGAGCCACAAAGGCAAACTGCCAAGTTGGGTCCGGTCACATCCTAAATCGGTTCCCTGAAACTGAGAGTGCCCTGAACCTGCGGAAAGCAGAAAGGCATCCAAGGACGCCTCTTGGGGTGCCGTTGTTCAGGATGCCCATCCCCACTTTGCCACTTTGGTTGACAGCTGGAGTGTCTTTTCGGGTCCGCAACAAGGCAACCTTGGCTTCTACCGCATGTTTTTTTGCCAACTTATGCTTTTGTGTGATGATTGCGGATTCGTGTTTCGTCAACCATAAACTGCAAAGTCATAGCCTCGGGCAAAAGTATTTGCTTCAGCGAGACATTGGAAAATGGGGAAAGTCCCCTGGAAAATATGGTTGGGCCATGTCCGGTTTCTTTGGCGAACCATAGACTCCTGGCAAGAAGTTAGCTTCAGCGCTAAAGGGCCGCCCTTCGCGGGAATGGCCAAGTCAGGCAACAAGACCCCCTACAACCCTTTGCTTGAGGGACCATGAGAAAACCAGACCCAGTTTGCCAGTTTATTCCATTTACCTGGAGGTACAACCATGGGTACAAGCAAGGGTTCCCGCTTAAAGCCAAGGACAATCGCTGCGTCCACTGGGAGCAGCGAAAGCAGCCAGGCCTTGGGGTTCCCCCGCTCCGCGCGACTAGATCGGGTCCTCCTTCACCCGCTTCCGCGAGACGCGGAGCCCGGGCTCCACCAAGGGATTGCTGGCCCACAGCACCGAAATGCCTCGAGGACAAATCCCCAACGTAGCGATTCCCTTCTTTCCAGGTCTTCCATTGGCTTTTTGCGCGCCCTGGAAAGAATGAGAAAATATGTCCAGTGATAGATTCCACGTAAAACCAACAAGGGACTATAAAAATAGTCTTAAGCAAATGGAAGAGGTAAGTGAGTGTTCTAGACGATCGACACTTTATCTTGAAATATGACCGCTTCTAAGAGTCTACCCTTTCCAGACGAGTGTTCTAGACAACTAGGTCCTCCAGTAGAGAGGTTGGAATGAGGAAACCTTTTTTTTTCTGTAGTCTATTTTAGTAGGGGAACCCTCCCCAAAAAAAGGGGAGAGAAGGGCACTACTGGGGGACCTAGTCGTAAGCCGCTTCCGTGAAACCTCCTGTGGTAAGGGCACCTCTTCCATTTTTCGAGGTAGCGTATTCCGGTCAATCACCCACAAGGGACAGCAGTAACATTTTACACGAGGGGGTCTTCCCAGGCCAAAACAAAGAGCGGCCTTCGGAAAATGGTTGAAATGGGGAATCAACCCCAAGAGCCGTGGCCACAAATTTCCATCCTCCTTGTCTCCCTTCAATGCAGCCACGGAATAATCCACCTGGATGAATTTGAGGGGGTACGGGGTACTCCCTGGACATCCCTGGACAGCGATCTGCATCCCGTCTATATGGATTAATTAATCAACTCAGGTCCCATCTTCAATCGTGAGTAACTTCCATCGTTTCCCTTGCAATGCCCTTCCAACACGACATCCATGTCCAACTTCTGGCACCAAACTTGGTCCCGAATCGTGCAAAGAAGCAGTGGCAAGAGACTTGCTGGTGAGGGAGTGATCCCCCAAAGCTTCCTTTCAGGTGCAACAAGTTGAGTCGGAATCAAAGGTATCCGGAATCACCCGTCCCTATTTATGGTTTGGGAGCTGCCTAGACTTCATCCACCCGAATCGGTATTGAAGAAGTGGAGCTTGTTTGTCCAGAACCATGGCTCTAACTTCATTCAACCAAATTTCGAGCAAGTGGCTCACATCACCCTTGCCCATTGCCTTTGTCTGTTCGCATTGCCATCGATTCCCTTTGGATCTGGAGGTTTCTGGGAATGGCATGTTTCGGGGGGCCATCAAAGAGACCATTTTAGGCCTCAAAGTCCGGCTTCGCGAGAAACACCCGGGTTGTATGCGTGGCTTGCCCCCATGTTTCCAGCTGTTTCCCGGAAACACCCATAATACATAGTTATATAGTTGCCTTCGGTTACCCCATTTTTCCAGCTTCCCCAAAAGCTGACTGGTTCCCTGAAACCAACTGGGTGTCTTTTCATAGGCCTCCTCCGAACAATTATGATGTTCCTGATGGTTTCGTTTTAAAAAGCAGCCCACAAACTAGGGCTGGTCCCTCCCAAAAAGTTTGCTTTCAAACCCACCCAAAGGGCACCTGCAAATACAAGCCACCCAACACGGGGGGCGTACACGCACTGACCCGCCCATCCAACCGGACGCCCGCTCCGCGCTCCGCGCTCCGCTCTGCTTCGCTCGGCTTCGGCTTCCGCTCGCCTGCCGCCTGGATCTCTGCCAGCGCGGAGGCGATGCCCATCTGCCGGCCCTGACGCCCCTGACGCAGTGGCCGCCGGTGCGGTGATGGCGAGAGAGGGAAGCCTCAAAACACGGCTCTGAGTAAAACGCCCCCTACAACCAGTGTGACTCATCCGTGGCTCCATTGCAATAGTCTTACCGGTCTTGGAAAGTTCGCTACTACTCTGTGTTGTCATATATATATACATATATATATATATACACACTGGACAAAGGCCTCCTCAAAAACCCGCAAAGGGCAGGAGCTGAAAAACGGAGCCTCAAAAGAGGCCGAGCACCATGTTGACCAAATCTTTAATGCATAAAAGGATGGCACTTATAAAGCTGCCAGATTCAGCAGCCGTTCGGCATACGTACGGTAGACTGTCGAATCCGGACAGTGCTTGTGCAAAGGGTCCCGCTACCTATCACATCATTGTCAGAATGACAGCAATTGCCAAATAGGACTTGGGGCCCTCCGGACAACAACAGACCAACAGCAATTCACCTTGCCCCTTAGTTGGTCGTTTGGATTGGTGGTTTAGGAATATGAAGATATGAGCCCCTGGTTCTGGTGGGCTTGAATGGGAAACCCCGGGCTCCAAACCGGCCAGAAGGGAGCTGAATTTGATAACATCCCGGCGATTGCCCCCCGGCCTTCGGGCGATCCTGCTTGTCAGCTAGGCAATGCCCGAAGGTCGCGTTGCAGGTCCCGTTGCCATCTGGCAAGTGCCACAGCCCGTGGTTGAAGACCTCACCAGGGAAAACCGGGGGGCGGGAAAAAGGGGGGTATGGCTTATGGGTGTGTCTTAAGGCCGGCCTCTTTTCAACACCAGAAGCGTAGCCTCAACAAGAAGAGCACACCCATCTGCCCTTTGTATGTGGCCAGATGTACACGTATAATCCTCCCATTGGACCCCTGGTGGTGGTTGGGGGGGGTGGACATCATCTTAGAAGGACCCCTGGTGGTGGTTGGGGGGGTGGACATCATCTTAGAAAGCTGAGGCTCGTGTGTCAGTGAGAGTGTCAGGACCATGATAATGATGACATGATGTTGATATGATACGGTACGATACGAGATTAGCACTTTATGATATGACAAGATTATAGGACACACACAAATGACCTGGTGATATGGATGTTACATGCCATGCGTTGTAGCTATCCCTGCAGCCGTTGTCCTTTGGTTTGAAAACGGTGATTACCTTCGTTACCTGCTGGTAAACGGATCCACAGGGTTTTGCTCGCCCTGACTCCTACCCGTTGTCTAATCATATGAGTGGACAGGGATCTTCCCAAAGGGACAGGCTTTGTTGGAGAGAGGGTACTGCAGTACAAGCAACTGCAACCTAACCTGGTTTCTGGCTTGGAGCATTGCCCCTTCTGTTTGCCCGGATGACCATGCAGTACCTACAATCGCTTGGGGAACACAACCTCGTGCAAAATGACAAGCACCTCAGCACTACCTTCGAGAAGGAAGGCCAAGGGTGTCATCAGTTCGAATTGCTGGCCAAAGGCGAATGCGCCACGGTCAAAATTATGCTCTAAATGATCCCGGACGAATCCCATCGCCTTCCTTGTGGGACAATAGAGTCCCCTCACGTCCCGATGAAATTTTGGCCAAACAACTGGAGGAACTCTATTTCATCCACTTCGAGCCCTTAGAGAAATGCTCGCAGTCCATCTCCTTGCCCTGAGAAAACACACGATGCCTCTTTGGCCTGTCGCATCCATCCCAAGAAAAACTGAAAATGCCAAAGCCAAGGTCAAGATCATTGCATCCGCAACTACAATAGGATTGTGGGGAGCGATGCCTATCTTCTCAGGGAGGTGAGCGGTGATGTCCGTGTGTCAATCCGTTTACGACAATTGTTAGAGCACAATTTCCTGTAGCCTGATGATCGAGGAACCCGGGTGGATTCCTTTTGACTTTCCTACAGGTCGCGCAGGGCCAGGACATGACGGACCCCGAATCCCAACTCCCGCGTGGAACGGCCCCACAAAGGTACCCGGAATTCATAAGCCCACGTGGTATCGGGACCCACGTGGAACCGAATCCTGAAAGCCCCAAACCCCGAAGGAGCCTTGGAAGAGACCAAATCCAAGCTTTCAGCTGTTGGTGAAAAAACTGGCTGTTTGTCACCAGGGAAATGGGGGAATGACCAAGAAAAACCATCCGTTATGGTTTTCTTTAAGGGAAATTCCCTAGGTTCATTCCCAACACCCTGACTCGGTCATTTCCTGCAGCATTACGAAAAGACAGGTGCCCCTTCCCACCCCGGCCAGCATGTGGGGCTTGTGGTAGGCTTTGTGGTTCACCGGCATCTGGATCCTGGGGGCTTGACCGCAAATCCTCAGCATCGGATGCATCTCCCATGAAACGCTCGGATCTAAGCCTTACCCAGTGCTTCCTGGCGTTTCGCCACCATAGCAGGCTTGCCCGGGGGAAACCAATATGTAGAACCTAGAGGCAAGGATCTCTGGGAAAGCAAGCCTACTTGGCTTGCCCGGAAGCAGTGGGTTATACTGCAATCATCCAACCACTACCCAAGCACCCCCCCTCTGGCATCTTCGAAATCAGGCCTTGGTAGGCCAAACACTGTCTGCACTGCAACAAGTATCACACGTGACTCTGCAAAGGTAAAGTTGATTGAACACAGGGCAAACAAACACACATCTTAGGCTCCAGGCAGTTTGAGAAGTATTTCCAGGGTTTCCCATTCTGGCTATTTCCTTTGGAACCTGGTGAAATCATCAATTTCCCTGCTCATTGGCACATCCCTAATATGCCAGCCTGCTTCTTCGAGAGCTCTGCTCGGAAAACCAACTGCCCGGGCGGCAGTGCTTGTGAGGGGGGTCCTTCGCATGCTCATGATCTCAGTCAAGAACAGCCTGGGTGTGTCCCCAAGTGAGGGAACCTCCACAATGGCGAGAATGGCTGGTTTCCCCTTGCTTACCCCTTAAAACTCCAAGCCCTGGGGAAGTTAATCTTTTACAGACATGTAGCCCATGTTACCCCCAAAAAGTTGAAAAGTTGTGTTTTTAAGAGGTAAGCTTAGTTTTCTTACAACCCAGGTGTTGTGTTCGGCATCACTGTAGGCAGCTCAGCGCGGCGCTGAAACGACTCGAAGTCAATCTCCTGGATGGATTCGTGGGCGGTTTTGGACCGTGGCCCGAACATGGCAAAACTGAACGGGCGACCAGGGGTTCCATGTTTTGTCTTGTTTATATATCATATCATCCCAAGCGAAACTTAATTCAACAAAGCACTGTTCTTGGAAACATCACCCCACAACTTGCTGCGTCTCAGCAGGACATGTGGAAATGACCCCCTATGAACCATCCCCTATGGATTCCTTTAAGCGAACCCTAGATTCATTCCCAAAACTCGGAACGGTCATTCCCCGCTGAGCAACAGCAAACCAGAGAGAAACTCAATTCACATTTGCCAAGATGAACCGCGCGTTTTGGTCCACTTGAGGTACCAAACCCCTTACCCCGGGACCTGGGTGCGACTGTTTTGGGGGAACTCAAGTAAGAAACATACCCAGTGGATATTCGGGCAAGCCACTTACTGCTTCCCTGATAGACACTGGCATTGAATTTCGGCCCTTCCCCGGTTTTCTTTGGGTCTTATGGGGATGGGCTTGATGGGTTTTGGGCTGGAGGGTTTGTCCTATGGCTGTCGTGCATTCATCAATCAGGCTGGCGGATTTGTTTGCTTCCTTCCCCCACTGGAGAAAGATTGCCTCGTCTGTGAGGGACACCCCTGTGGATTTGTCCAAACTGTCCACAGTGACATCCTCAAAATGCCCCTCCAACAAGTGGTTTCAAGGAAAACCATCTTTAAAAAAGCGTTTGCCCTTCGGCATCACATCGTTAAGTCTACCAGAGGGCACAGTGTGTTCATCTGATTAACAATCTCAGCCCCCTGTCCGATTCTGGCCTCACAAAAGAGCCGGATTCGCGGGGGGGGGCTGCCCCCATCGGCCAAGCCGGCACGGAAAGGCCCACATCTTGGGTACACGGAAAACCCGATTCATACTGTGGATGGACAAAGTCCTGCACCACCTAAGGGACCCTGGTTTCTGATGATTATCCTGTAAATACCAACAAACGTTATGGTTTCAACCACGGTTTCAAACCGGTGCGAAATGGATTTCGCAACCGTCCATCAGTATTTCTCTTCAACCCTGACGCAATTCCATTCCAGCAACCACTGGCAGCCAAGAGGGAACCATCCTAAAGCCCAAAGGCAGCGACTTTCGCCCAGCTCCGAAGCACCGAAGCACCGAAGCACCGCTCCTCGTTCTTGAGCCGCAGGCAGCAGCGCTGCAGCGGGGACCCCACCACCAGGGAGCGCTGAGTCTCCTTGGAGATCTTCAGCCGTTGCTCCGCGCAGGCCACGAAGCCTCGGCACGGCCAAGAAAAAAACAGATTCCCTAGGGTTCAACCGATTCCCATTGAGAGAAAGGTTGACCCGATTTATATGATGACCATCCTCAGGTAAGCAATGGCGGTTACATGATCCCCCATTGTTTTAATGGTGGCTTGAATCCCAGGCGATTGGAGAAGTGAGTTGTGCCAAATGGCTGTGGGTCAAAGCCCTGTACCCCAGTGAACATCCCAATCCCCACTAAAATGGACTAACATGGGTGGTGCACCTATATACCCCAAAATGGTACCATTGGTCTTGTCCCAAAGCCAAATAACAGTACATGGAACAACATGATGCGTCTAGGGGGTCCTCGAATGGAAGCTAAAGTGTAACTTTCTGTATGATCATATCGCCCATCAAATCAAAAGCAGCACTATCTCTACATGCTTGCCATTTGGGGTACTACAGGTTGCATCCTTTTGCAGAACGCCATATTGTTTGAGGTTGTGGTCCCCGTAAACACTTAGCCAATGTGCGATTGACTTATGCGGGGCAGTTGGTACTACCCCGTGATTGTCTGTCTGCCTGCCTGTCTCCGTCCTGCCTCTGGAGGGTGCTGTTCTGACTCTGTTCCATGTTTACCCAAAACGATAGAATAGTTCTGAAGCAGTCCCCAACCACTCTCAAGGGATCCCAATGTACTCCCAAGCTTCAAGAGGACAACCCCTTCTATGGGTGGCCTGACCTTGGCTTAGCCAAATTAAAGATCGAGGCTCTGAGGTAACGACTTCCGAACGCCAACTTCGATCGATCTGATCCAAGGGGCGGAAGGAGATTCGGATTTCTCGGGGTCCGAAGCTGTAGAGGATGTCGTCGTCGAAGCTGAGGGGACAACAAAAAGAGGCAGGGCACGGGCGAGTAGCCGTTGGCGGCTTATCATGGTTAACCACTTGAGTCACTTGCCCCGAAGCCGGTTTTGGATTGACCATGTGCGGAGAACACAAAGAGGGGTATACATGGTGCCACTGTGGGAGTTTGGCTCCCTCTGCATGGCAGGGAATCCTCCATCCTCTGGGATGGAAGTAGGTAGTTTTTTGGGGTGGAAAAAAACAACAGCAAATTCCTACAGCGAATCACATACGCAACCAAACGGAACTGTAGGAGAGCTTTGGCTCCCGTTCTCATGCAAGGAGTTCACCAGCTGTCAACTCCTTTACCACAATGATATCAGGAGAACGTTCAAGTTTACAAACTGGGTTGGCACCCAAAATCATGATGTTATCTGCGATGACGGACCATCTAGTGAATACACTGACGAGAAATTATGTCTAGGATCGCAAACTTCCTCAAAGAGCCCCCACCCCCCCCATCGCCCCGGTTCTGGTTTTGGGCAGACCTTAATAAATTTGGGCGGAACCAATGGTTTGGGTGTTGGATTCCAATTAGAATTGACCATAGACTGGAAATCCTGACAGAACTCTTAGGAACAAATCTCGGGAGGCAACTCGAACCTTTCGGTCGGTGTCTTTCCCGAGCGTTTTGGCATGGTTCACCCTGTCCTGACAAAAAGGATATGTTGAAAAGGCAGGCTGCCCCAAACCCTAACTCCAAACTAGCTGAATGGTTTGGGCTTAAGTAACAAGGCTTTTGCGGGTAGATCCAACGACTTAAGCACAACACAACTTTTGGCAAGGACCACAAAAGGACACAACATAATTTTCTACTATTTTGTGGTTTGGTCATTTGGTTCGGGGCAACTGACGTTGAGAGATAATACGATTCCGTTTCATTGTTGGGCCACACAAGAAAACAACTTTGGAGGCTCCGCGAATCTTTAGTCTAGTGCTTGCATCACAAAGCAAAACCCAAGGGCAAGTTTCTTTTCCTGCAGCCCAGACACCTGTAAAGCAGCAGAATGACAATTTGACATCTGCCTGAAAACACAAATTGGGACACCCCGCTCGAGTCGCCTTGGCCTTGTGGAAGCTACAAAACGATTCCACAGCTCCAACTCTTTGGATTTAAGCATTTAAATTGGGGGCCGAAGTTGGGTAACTTGTAGGTTAAACATGCCAAACATCCGCGATTGTTCAAACAACCTCCTTCGGCTTACTTTTAGAGGCAACCATGGCCTGGTCGGTCGAAGCTCTGGGCCGGCTTGCGTGCGCACACGATTGCTGGATGGTTCGAAGGACGAATCTTCTGCGGGGTTTGTGCGCGTCGATTCGCTGTGGCGCCGTGCAACAACTTGCAAAGTGCCCGATGAACTGACTGCTTTGACGTGCACTGTGGCTGTGGTGCCGTGCCAACGTAGTGACACAAAGCGAAATGAGGAAGTAACAAAGTACACAAGTAAGTCTAGGTCCTCCAGTAGAGAGGTTAGAGTACGGGTACCCTTTTTCTCTGTAGTCTATTTTAGTAGGGGAACCCTCCCCCAAAAAAGGGGTGAGAAAGGGCACTACTGGGGGACCTTGAAGTAAGAAAGTATCCACGAACTTGAGTCGAGCAGACTGAGTTGGATGTCAGGAGCTGGGGTCCTGGACTTCCCCCTAATACGGCTGGGGCTGGCCTGGGCGAGAAATCCGCTAGATCAGTATTGGCTTAGAATTGTCCTATTCTAAAAGTAGTACCCTGCAAATACCAACAAACGTTATGGTTTCAACCATGTTTTGAAAGTGGTGCTAACGGATTCCTCCATCCACGGTAGGATGCATCTATTTGGGGGAAGGCGAAGCTTCCTGAAATGAAGCCGCTCGGCTACCCGGTTGCAACCCTGGGGTTGGGGCCCGCGTCTAGCCCAAAGCAGGTGGTACGGGATAGGTTTGGAGAGATCTTCCATGGGCCCAGAACACCTGCTTGCTGATGCGATAGGTGGGGAATGACGGAATGAACCTGGGGATTCCCTTCCAAAAAAACCCATAGGGGAAGGGTCATGGGGGTCATTCCCTCATTCCCTGCAGCAGGCACCAGCAAGTCTTTGAGATGCTTTCATATTCACCTGGCGTCAACCGAAAGCAAGAAATACTCCAATTGGCACAGGGACATGAAAGAAGCCTCGATTTTATCGACCCCTCCAGTTCCATGTCGAGAGATATGCCCCGGCTCCCTGCGAGTTTCAGAGATAATCTCTGAGTAACTTTTCTCTCTGAGCGTCTAGTGAGGGCAGCAAAGCTCCCCGCGCCAGGTGATCTTAAAGTTGGGCGGCCGCATGCAGGCCGCCTGAAAAGCAAGGGATGTGACTCATGGGAGGGGGGGGGAGGTCAAGAATGTGGTTCCTTTTCGGATCAGTTGCGGCGCGGCCCTGGCTGACGAACTCTTTTTTGGGACGACAAAAAGCTGCAAGTTCTTCGACAGCTCCATGGTTGACCAACGGAACTACCCTGTAGGAACTAAGATCTACCGGGCATGGTTCTAAGGATGTCTTCCCTTAGCATCGACTTTGCGCCTGCATTCACGAGGGTCCCGATACTCCCCCTAACCCGCCAAAGAAAACTCCTGGAACACTTGACCTTTTGGCAAATGTAGGGAAGCCTGTCAAACATATCTACAAACCTGATTGGCCTCTGCTATGCCTCACTCTGCTCCCGAGTTCTAAGAGTGACTTCCCCATGCTTGGGGAACGAAGAACACAACTCCACCCCGTTTTTCCTGGGATGATCAAAATGGGGGGATCTCCAATACGTAATCCGTAGTGGACACCACTACAATAAGGATACCAACAACTACCATGTGGCAAACGGACAACACAGCGATTGAACAACCGAGGACACCCACACTAAACCAGGGATGTTGATTGGTGTTGGTATATAGAGACACATGAATCTACCAGCCACCGGCTCCAGCTCCTTTGGAGGGTACCAAATACCATCAAGTTGTTGCAACATTATTATCCACCCTGAAACTGAAACAATGAAGTTGTTTTTGCTCAGACAAGAAACTGGGACCTAATCCGGGACAACAGTTGTTTCGTGTCCGGAGTTGTTTGGTCCGGAAACACACATCCCCCCAAACTGTCGATGTCCTTCCATATCATTTGTGCGCAATTGCTCAGCCGACAACTTTCCAAGCGGGTAGTACATGTCTTCCCCAAATGCTCCATAATAGAAATGAAATCGGGGCGTCCAGTTGTGCAACATTTTTCCAGATCGAAAAACAAACCAACTACTAAACCAATACTAAACCAATTCTAAACAGAACTGGGCCAGGTCAAAGGAATGCTCAAACAATTGAAAACCAGTACTAGGCAGAGAGGATCAAAGAGGACCAAAAACAACCGAAGCCAATACTAAAGCAATACTAACCAGTACAACGCCAGTACGAATCAATACTCAACAATTCTCCTTTTGGTTTTCAAAGGGTGGTTCCTTTGGCTACCTATTGAACAAGTAAATGGATCCATGTATGCTAAGGCACACTCATACAATAGTTGTGGATCAGCTCCCTCCGGTCCCGCCTGTACCTCCTCCGGGGTCTGGCGGTCTGTGGGGTTTGGGGCACGGCTCTTCACCTCGTGCGGCTTCGCTTCCCAAAGGAGCCAGAGAAGCAGAGCTCCCTAATTTTTTGGGCAGGATTTTAACCGGGACCCCTTGGTGGACATGATTTCAAGGCCTGTGGGGAACCACGAGGTATTTCTGCGGTGTGGGGTGGCGCGGCGGGTGATTGGTGACCTGGAAATCCAACCAAATCCACGAAGATGAGGCAAGGGCCGTTCTGTGCCAGCAAAGGCTCCAGTACTCTGAGGTTTCTGGAGAACTGGAATGTGCGTGTGCTTGTGTGTGTGATTGAAGTGTGTCTAGGGCTGTTCCTTTGATCTGGGCTCTCCTATGCTTTCCTTTGAACGTTTCTTCTTTGGTCATTACTTTGGTCAATTGCTTGGGGTCCCCATCTCTTTTCTGAATGCTAGCCAGGAAGAAACTATTGATGGCAAGGGCTTGCTCGCCAAGGAACTGCCAATGTGCCAGTTGTAAATGCAAAATTAACATCCAAGTGTATTTAGCGAACCTGAAAACCCTCAAACCAAAACCTCAATTGAGGTCTTTGGAGTCATTTCAGCTCTCATTCCCAGGTGTCCCAAGTTGAGATGTGTTTCTTTCTGTTCCCTCAACAAACAAAACACTCGCTTCTTAACAAAAAGATGAACGGAGATCCCACGAAGCCCGGAGAGCCCTTAGGCCTTCAGCCCAACCAAAGACGCGGGGCCCCGACCTGCAAACCCGCGCCCTCCAGAAGGCCCTGCAGCAGCTGGAAGACCAGCCTCGCTCCGACTCGAGGCTCAAAACTCGGTGGCGAAATCTGCGAAGCCCGGCTAAAAGTGAACCACTTTTGGTGGTGTCATTCGGAAAACCCATTATAATTACATTAGTTTTAACTTTTGGTGGTTTAATTCGGAAAACCCCCTTTAGTTACATTAGTCGGCAAAAAGTTTCCAGTCCTCACATCCCTTGGCAAAATGGCGCCAGAGAAACCGCCCCTTCGAGGTTCTCCCGGGCGGCCGGCTTCTCAGTTCTCAGCCCACGCCCGGGAAAAATGCCGGGGCTGTCTGGGGGCCACTAAGAAGTCACTTTCCCAAAGGACCCAGAAATAAAAGGTTAACCTTTTGGGACCTTTACTAAATATTGGACCAGAAAGGAAAAACCAAAAGGTCAAAAGGTTGGCATTGGGCAACTGAGAAAAGTCTAGAACACTTGGAAAACCCGAGACACAACTTGCGATCGCGAGAGATCCGTGGGGAATGAGCAATGGAGCCTGACCCCAAGAATTAACCATGCCGCTCTGGTGATTTCCGATCAAGGGGACCAATTCCTAGGGTCATTCAACCACATTCCTGAGCACCATCAAGAAAGTACCAGGCCAGGGTTGCCTCTTCAGGCCACTAACCAACTGGACCAGAAGGGAGAAACCAAAAGGTCAACAGGTTGATAACCTTTGGGCAAGTAAGACTCAAGCACACCCATGAGCTTGTGAATAGCATGCCCAGAACGCAGGCTTGTTCTCACCATACTTTGGACAAAATCACAAGTTTCCGCCAGTGGACGACACCCATCCCTGGTGCGAATCCGGACATCCACTGGGGTTGGGAGTTTCTACGGCAATCCCTGGGTTCAAGTCTCCAAGATGTCCTTTCGTTCTTCACGTCTGCAAAAAGACCTAACCTGCCATAGGTGTTTCAATGCAACAACAAACTGGTACCCTCAAAAAAGATAGACTCCATAAGGAATCGTCGAGGAACCTTCATCAAGGTGCTAGTTTTACCCCCAGAGCCCGGCGTGGTTGCTTCCCAAGCAAACCAAAAAATCAATGCAAGCCATAGCGCAAACCGAGCATCAAGTGCTGAAAATCAAACAAACGGCCAGTACCCACTGGTGGCAATGAGTAGTCCCCGGTCTATACTAAGATGGCTTTGGGGGGCTTAGCTAGGAGCCAGTGGGGGTGACTAAACACTTCGCTACTCATAACTCATGCAACGTAACTACTTTAGACTGGATCCTTCAAATGTCTTGTATTTAGGTTTCCTTCTAAAACAAGTGGCTTCGGTGTGGATCCTTTTTAAAGTCCTCCATTTAGGTTGCCCTTTAGCTCTACCCGCTATTCAGGCTTCCCTCAAAGGTATTCCCGGATCTCCCTTCAGAATTCATCTGGACACGCCTGGGATCTGGAGTCGAACATGCAAGCCATGAACCACTAGTCACTAGTCTCATCTTAACCCTTCAAACATGAGGGGGTACACACCCAACACCTGCTGTCCTCAGATCCCCCGCTAAAACCTTAGCTTTGTGGGTTAAATGCAATCCCCACTAAACACTACAAGGCCAAAAAGCCGAAAGACACTCATGGGTCATACCCCCACTGAAGGCTACTTGAATTGGGCAAGGAAGTCTGGGTGGATTAATCCACTTCCGACAGGGCGGGGATCACCCCACGACTGGGGATGTGCGAGCGGATTCACATCGGACTGGGAGCCCCGATTTCAGGTTGAGTCAAGGAAGACTTGCTCGACTTGGACACTCGGCTTCAGGACCTGTCTCCTGGACCCAAAAAGGACCAGATTGCCGCAGCATCTCTAGCAACTTCGGCCTTAACCATCCCATTGGTCGGGGATGGGGGGCGGGGGGGGCGGGGCTGGGCCTCCCTCCGCCCAAGTCGCTACAACAAAACTATGATTCTTCTTCCGGTGCAAAGAGTTTCATCGTTTGGTCGTGGAGTTAAGGCAACAGTTAAAGGCAAAATCTATGCAACGAAGCCAAGAAACCTTCGGCTCCCGAGACCACCCCCAACATGGTGGTTCGCCCTTAGTGCCCCAAGGGTACCAACTCAAACGCCTTGCGATAGACCTGACGGGCTGCAAGCTGTTCCCTCCCCGGGCCTCCAGTTGGTGTCGCCGGCCAAAACCAGCCTCGAACGATCCGAAACAAGCACCCGCACAGGCGGACCGACCGTGAGAACATTTGGGTGTGGCTCACAAATAGGGGCCGAAATGGAACCCTGGCAAATGGAAAGGTAGACTAAAAACTGCGCAACCCCAAGTGTTTAATTTTCACTCACAGCCATTTTGACCCAAAAAGGAAGCACGAAAGATGGGTGATTTTCCAAAAGTATGGAACCCATTTTTTTGAATTCTTGGATGGCGCGTAATATGCTTCCACAGGGAGATGGGGCATTTCTCAAGGGGCGGTTTCCTTTTGGTGGTCCTTCAAAACTACCACCCCCCAAGGGGAATTTCACACAAAGACAATGATTCTTGTTTCCCCTCGCCACTTCAAGCACTTGGGCAGCTAGTGGGTGTCTCTTTTTTTGATGGTAAGGGGAAACAAACAGGGGCAAATCAGAAAGACTCGGGCACCATGTGGAAGCAAAAAGGCCTTTATTGCGCGTGCCTTGTTCTTCGTGGCCCACCTCAACCATTTGGAGACCTCAGATCGAAGGGTTCCAAGACATGTTGGCCATATGCTGGCCATGGCGTGGTTCAAATGGGAACCTCGGATTAATAAAGCCATGCGGTGTCACCCACAAAAGTCAAGGATTTCCACTCAAAGTGTACACCCCTCGATCAAAAAAATCCACCAAGGGGTTACTGCTTGGATAAGAGTATCGAGAAAACCATCTTACAATTCGGGAATCCCACAATGGTGGCTTTCCTGACTAACCAAAAAGGTTGGTTCCCAAAGAATGGGAACCCCAACCCCCAACCATCCGTTCCTCTTACAACCAACCAAAAAGGTTGGCTCCCAACAACTGGAACCACCCCCCAAGCCCATTTTAGGGTCACCCTACACTCGCACATGGAAGCTTTGACTCGAGGCGCCACGGCGACTTCAGGCGGGAGGTGCAGTTGGCCCAGCACTTTGAGCGGTGGCGCACCTCTTGGCCTCAGGCGAAGGTCCTTGTCTGGGTCCTCCAGTAGAGAGGTTAGAATAGGTGGGTACCCGATTTTTCCCCTTGTCCATTTTAGTAGGGGAACCCTCCCCCCAAAAAAGGGGTGAGAAAGGGCACTACTGGGGACCTAGCTGTGGTCCTACTCACCCCAACCACCCAACCACCCCAACCACCCCGACCACCCCGACCACCCCGACACCCCGACCGCCCCAACCACCCCAACCACCCAAATCAAGCAGGGGTTCCCGGAGTTGGATTTCCTGAGATTGGCCTCTACATCATCCCAGCCGTGGCTTGAATTTGGGCCCACGAAACTTCAAATGCAATCAAAGTATCAAAGAAGACCCCAGGTGAGACTGTCCCAACTCACTTCCTCAGCGGTTTGGTCAAATAAAGTCCGAACTGTCTGTTTGTGTCCACCCCCAAAAATATCAAGTCCAAGATCTCAGGGAGCAAGAAGACCTACATCACGCTCGCTTCACTGGATCAGTCAGGTAAAACCTGGACTTCAAAGGGGGGATATCTGCAATGGCTCAACGATTGTCCCTTCTCCACTGACCCGGGATTCAATGGCTCAACGATCAGGAGGCTACAAGAGCTTCTTGGATGTTCAACCCGAAGGATTTAAACATGCTCTTAACCAGACTTCTGCCGGAAGTAATGCAAAGTGAATGGCTCAGCCGTTCAGCTTTGGCAGGATGTCCAGTGAATTCAGCTTTGAAATGACTGCGACTGACACCAACATGTTCTCTGTGCGTCGTTGCCAAGGCAACCCATTTGGGTTGATGAATCACAGTTTTCCGACAAAAAAGAGAATGGACGCAAGCAAAAAATCGAATACAGGGTTACCATCCCCCCCAAGGGGGGAATTCTAAAAACGTGTTTAGATGATGGTCCATATTTTGCGAAACGTTCTGTGCACTTACGATATCAGGAGACCCAAGTTTATGTGTGTACGACTAAATGATACGCTTTGTGATACACAAGTATGCACATATATATATATATATACTATCTGTATATTTATATATATATATATATATTATATTATATTATATTTACATATAAGTATGAGGAGGCTGGGGGGGGGCTTGACTAATTCGAACAACGTGCGTCGGCGTGACGCCGAGTCAGCCAAGCAAGACAACTGCAACTCGTGCTAGTTCATCTCTTTGGCGCTTATCAACCGAGTTCTGGCGCACTGTCCGCGTGGCTGACTGTTGCTTATGTCCTTTCCTCATGCCGCAACTCGAGGAGCGGTTTGGGTCTCCGGCCCTGGCACCATCGCGCAGAGGAAAGCATCGGGCATGCGGCGCAATGAGAAGCCACGGTGACCGCAGCAAGTCTCAGTGAAGCGTGTCATGACAAAAAGTGGCCGGCCTAAAGAGCGGGCGACCTTTTCTAGCTCTGAAGGCTTGCAACGGCTTGTTTGCAACGGCTTCTTCTTCCGCCGAGGCAGCGCAGGCATTCAGCAAAGGCAGAAACGGTGATTGGGCCGCATTGTTGCTTGGCCCCACAGGGTCTCCAACAGGCCAATGGGGACTCGATGATGGAGAGGTGTTCGGGAGTGATGTAGGTTTGGTGAAAGTCCAAGTCGACGGTGACTCCCTCAAGCACACCGCAGTGTGCAAGAGCTGCCCCTGAAGCAATGACGTCAGCTCGATTAGACTGAGCACGTGCAGGCTGGCGCTGGACATATGCGGGCATGGGGAAGCGTGTGCGGAGCCATTGTAAGCTTGTGTAGGATGTTCAAACTTGACCAAGGATGGTGCTTGTGTCAAGAGCTTTCACATGAATGGCTCAGGCATTGGAGCGTATGCCTGAAACTCTTTTGTGCGTGCGACAAGTTCAGTTGTAAGAGTGCAGGCAGCTTCGTCTTGTGTAACATCTGACACTGCCCGTGAGGCGATGCTACCTGTTTTTTGAGATGATTTGCTTTGACGGCTTGTTTGAGTTTGACCTGGTTTGCCTTCGGAAGCAAAACATAAAAGGAATCGCAGGGCCAATACATACTCGCAATTAATGTGTTTCTATGCCTCCAGGCCACCCGCCGTCTAGATTTTATCATATTTTTTTTTCAATCACTATCTAATCATATTTATTTTATTGTTGTACATCTTGAAATTACTCTATTATGTATTGCTTGTACATGAGCATTCATCATAATGCTATGACGAAGCGCATCAACTATTCTCCGGGTTGTTCAAGGCTTCGTGCCTGTTCATACCAGCTTCTTTATCTTCTTGCATGCTTGTCTAAATGGCTTTCCCTTTCATTCACATTGCCATCTTAGCTCGGTTGCTTTCTGCTCCCCTGCTGAAAGCTTAACTTTTAGTGGTTTAGTGGAAAACTCATGAGTTGGCAAAAACTTCAAGTCCTAACAGCCCTTGGCAAAATTTGCACCAAAGTCAGGAGACAAATGCAAATCCCACACCAAAGGATGGCGCCAAATTGTTTGGTCCGAAGAGCTCTCTGCCAGGTTCAGCCCCCGTGCGTAGGCGGTGCTGGGTCTGATGCTCCGGGGCCGCCTTTGATTCCAGGTCTGTGGGGCAACCAGTTTCCTTCTGGATGGACGAAATCCATGTCGCACCACCAAACTCGGTTGCCTTCCGCTCCCCTGCTAAAAGCTTAACTTGTAGTGGTTTAATACGGAAGACCCATTTTGCAAAAAGTTGAAGCCCCTAACATCCAAGCAAAATGCACCAAAGAAAAGAAACCCTGGTTTCCGATGATTCCCCTGTAAGTACCAAGTCCATGGGTTCGAAGTGGTGCAAGATTTCGTCCATCCACGGTCTAGAAGACGGTTTGGACATGGCGAATCTGTGGATCTGCTCTAGAATCTTGAGAGTCAATAATTACTACAAAGGGACCAACCGCGGGAAGAACAGGTGAAATCACAAAACGCGTGTAACAAACTGTGTTCTAGAATAGGTAACCAGGCAAGTTCCTTCTAGTCATTAAAGGATTTCAAGTTGGTTAGCTAGATGGAATCACTTTGGGATCCCTAAAAGCTATGGAAACACAATCTCGGAATGAACCTAAGGAATCCACCAGTTGGATGCAAGGTTCTTAAGCGATGAGTAAATATGACTACAACCCTGTTTCCCTGATTGACAGTCCCCGCGTGGGTTACAACCATGGCTACCAACCACTACGTCCCCTGCCCCTTTAAGTAGTGAACCAAGTCTTATGTACCCGTGAATACATGTTGATGGCACTCTTCATCTGCTAATACTATAAAGCATTGTCTAAACCATTGATGTTTTAAACAACCCTTCTTTGAGTTTTTCCTCTTAACCACTCTGGTCTAATCAAAGCATATCTAAGCACTTTTCAAGGAAACAAGCCCAGGTCCTCAAAACCACCACCAGAGAACGAGTAAGACCCAGTTGCAACTATTGACCCGAGTCACAAAAATATTTGGAACCCAGTTGGCGGACCAGTAGTTGGAAATCCCCCAAGCAACACGGGGATTTAGACTAGGTCCTCCAGTAGAGAGGTTAGAATAAGGGTACCCTTTTTTCTGTTGTCTATTTTAGTAGGGGAACCCTCCCCCGAAAAAGGGTAAAAGGGCACTACTGGGGGACCTAGTACAGCGTGTCACTGAACAACTGGGTGTTTAGGTACTAAAAGGCCTGCAACTGCCCCCTCCCCCCCCAAATTGACACTCACATAGGGTGCGCTTGGAGACCCGGTCGGGCCATCTTAAAGGGGGGAATAAACATTGGGCCAAGATTCCAAATATGAAGGCAAGACAATAGGTGGATGCTCTAAATATTGCAAGTACACCAACCACAGCCAAGCACAGAACCATGGCACACCTTGGTAAATCCTGGGTTTCCTCGTACGCTTTGCCAAACAAACAGTCATCCACCATAGCTGTGCGTCAAAAAGGGGCAACCGCCTGCCAGGTGGGAAGGTCTAATGCTCACGCATACAAAACCAACCAGAACCTATACAAAAGCAACTGAAGACCACATCCAAAGCAATGACTTATGGTTGGTTCGGGCTGTGCCCTTTGTGAACGGGCGCTGGATTCTTGCGCCGTGTTTGTCTCAAAATATCTAAAGCCGGCCCATGTGGGAGTTGGCACTCCATGAGAGTGTTTCTCCGAGACTCGAAAAAAGATTCAGGTCATGACCTCGTATTTTTTTGCGTACATGATCAAATTGTCGAAGGGTCTAGGACAGGTTCTCCAAGGCATACATCCCCAAACTGACATCTGTGTCACAGGAGGATCCAAATCAGCGGGCAACTCATGGCGTGCTTTTTCATGGCGTTTCTTCCTTTTTGGCCCCCAAGGAAACGGATGCGAAGCAAGTCTCTGAGGTGCCAGCGTGATGCCCGCCGCGCCAGCTGTGGTATGTGAATCTTGTTTCGTCAATGGCTCTGTGGGTGACGTGGCTGCTGTTCTGGTTGTGCCAGCGGCAGTCGTGTGCACGTCACGCGTGTAGGACTGTGAAGTTACTGTGGATGGTGCCGAGCTGGCTGCGCTCACGCTGGTGGTATGTGAATCCTGTCCCGTTACTCGTAGTGAAGTAGTGGCTGCAGTATGCACGTCTCGCGTGTTCAAGGGCTGCGAAGTTACTGTGGGTGATGCCGCGTTGGTTGTGCTAGCTCCTGTGGTACGTGAATCTTGTGCCGTCAATGACTGTGAAGGTGATGTGGGAGTTGCATTGGTGGTTGTGCTAGTGGCTGTGGTATGCACATCTTGCGCGCTCAAGGGCTGTGAAGGTGATGTGGGAGTTGCATTGGTGGTTGTGCTAGTGGCTGTGGTATGCACAACTTGCGCGTTCAAGGGCTGTGAAGCTAGCGTGGGTGATGCTGTGTTGGTGGTGCTAGAACCTGTGGTGTGTGAAGCTTGCGCCGTGACTGGTAGTGAAGGTGAGGAGGGTGCCGCCGTTCTGGCTGTGCTGGAGGTAGTATGCACTTCTTGCCCGTTCAAGGGCTGTGAAGTTGCGGTGGGCGCTGTGTTGGTTGTGCTAGCGTCGCCAGGGAGTAGCCGCGCGGGAACGGTGGCAATCGACTCCGTCAGATTGCTGCCTTACTCGCCAATGGCCATCGGGAAACGAAAGCGGAACCTCCAGAGCCTCTGATGCCCGTTCAAAATGCTCAAAAG